ATAAGATTCGGGATTGAGATTAATAATTTTCTTGCTCACTCTAAATTTTTTTTTTAAAACTTTTTAAAAATCGTGTCAAATAGACCTTTAGTAGTTGACATGTATTGAAAATTCTAAAAATTATGCCAAACAAACCCTTATTTGGACCCCATTCAATGTCTACATTGCAAGACTTCACCAATAACAACATTAGCTAAAAAGAAGGAAAATTGCACACACTTTTATTTACTGTCTTTATTTGAGTTCTATTACTTAAAATTTGTTTATACTCAAATTCATTTTTAGCTACACATTATTTCAATAAAATGATTTTGTATGTCAACCCTAAAATTTTATTCCTAACCATCCATTCTCCTAAATAATCAAAATTTGCAAATTCTTTTTTGAAATAATGGGGCTTGAACATGACTGATATATATCTTCTCAAGATTTTTTCACTCCTTTCTTTTGGCATCAATATTTATCTCAAAGTACAAATTACATGACATTAGTTAAAGAATGAGATTGGACCTTATTAATAAACAGAAATTTACTTTACACAAGTATAACATTTCATAAAATATTATAATCTAGAAGCTACCACTTTGAGTCCAATTGGCGAAGCAATGTTTGAATTTCTGATACCATGATTCGTAGTCATCTGTTCTAATTCTCTAAGCTACAATAAGATGGCAAAATGCTTCAATCCTGACCTACCTTGTGTTGCTTCGCCTTGAAGTCATCCCGACTCTATTTCTTATTTCATTTTAGGTTTTTATATTTAAATTGTATTTACAAATTTTAAAATAATATTGAAAAAATGACTCTACTACTTGGTCAAGGCCCGCCCAATTGGCTGGGGGTCTGCCCATGGACCCCTGAACATGTATCTTTAGGGGTACTTACAAAAATACCCTTAAAATTAGGGATGTTTTGAAAAATCATATGAAATGTTTTTAGGAAGTAAAAAATACTGTGTAAAATGAAAAAGTGACACAATGTCACTTTTTTTATAAAAATTGTC